CATTGTGCGATAGCATGATATGGCGAACTCGACATGTCAATTATGGGTCGCATCGGAACGTTTGGTTTATGTACCTTCGGTAATCCATAGAGCCGCGGCGGTGAGGATCCAATCGGAACTAGCTTATCGAAAACCGCTTGTGATATGTGACCTTCTATCTTGAGTTCCTTAAAGATGGACGGTAACATAGATTCCGTTTGCTCGGTCATGTTTTTCTCTTCTGGTCTAGCGGAAAATTTTGTGGAGTCGCTGAGGATGTTCTCTAGTTTAGAGTGGTAATCAGTCTTATCGAGTAACACCCAGCCGGCCCCTTCATCCGGTCGAGATATTATAATATCCTTGTTGGAAGTGAGTCGTTTCATGGCGTCGATGTTTCTTTGTCAAAATAGTTCTTGTCAGTANCTAGTTTAGAGTGGTAATCAGTCTTATCGAGTAACACCCAGCCGGCCCCTTTATCCGGGCGAGACATTATAATGTCCTTGTTGGAAGTGAGTCGTTTCATGGCGTCGATATGTTTCTTTGTCAAAATAGTTCTTATCTGTACTTGTGTGTTCTGATACTGGTGGCAATAGTCTACTAGAGGTGTTTTGAGTTGATCAACTAGATGAGCATGGCTAGATGTTAAATCGCTGAGTTGATGCATGATGTCCTAAATTTTGTGATTTTGAACCGAAATTTCACCAGATAGAGATAGAGACACAATTTGAAAGCCTCATGCCATAGCCATTTTTCTTGGAAGTTTTTATTCTTTATTTCGTTTACCTTCTCTGCTAAAGTCTATTGCGAGAATAGCTTCCTCGCACCTGCCATATGTTTCTACACAGTATTTTTTATTTGCTTGAGGGTCATAGAGCTCTGACCGGCATTCTACGGGTCAGTTGTGTTTTCGGCGCAACCTGTTCTCAACGAACAAATCATATCTACGAATTGGTGCAATGTATAGAAACGCTAATCCTCCCATCCGTGTGAATGCACGAACGGTACCATATGAGCTCCAAAATATGCTGTTCAGATCTCTATCTTTATAAATCCAACAGAATGAATCGCTACCTTTTCGAAATACGCATGACGGACTGTTCAGTTTCCCAAATCAACTGTTTGCAAATTTGCAGTGAATATATCAGTCAAAATAGAAGAGCCAATATCATCGCTTTCTCTTTGCCTATACAGTTTTCATAGGTGTAATGGAGAGGGGGCCTAAATCTATGTTTCCTCTAGATTTGGAGCGTATCGATGTTATCAGATATACAAGCAGTAAGGACCTAGCTTTTACAAGTGAGGCGGTGTTATAGAGTGCGCTGGATTAACGAACATTCATTCGATCACTCATGTTAATCTCTCGTGCTAAATTCAAAAGAATCACACAAAACGTCTAGTTGATTTTCGTTGAATCCGTTCTACGGTTGTTTTTAGCTGTTTCCCCGTGGTATAGAAGTTTGGAAATGATTAGGAATGTGCTCACTAAAAGATTAGATTAGTTGTAATGTTTGTGGTTTGATACTATAAAAACAGAGGGGAAAATGTATTCTGGGAAATATCCGAGTTCACTATCGGCGGTTCTATGTGACAAAATAATCGTAACACAAATTGAACCACATAAATTACCTTCGGTGGTTGTGTGGAGTGTAGTTGTAAACTAGTTCGATAACCAAATCGTCTGTTGCATCCAGCCGTGTACTTTCGTTTTACCAATTCAATTGTGCTTGGGCCAATTTTGTTGGGCACATATTCGGTCAGACACTCACCAGATATATCGACCTATGGTGCAGAGAAAAAAAAAGAAGAGCAACATAAATAATTTCCCCGTGCTCACAGCACATCACCATATATCACTGGATTGAAAACCCCTAAAGCGTTGTGCTTGTTTTCAAGTTATTTTAATAGTACCTGCTATTTATCCTTAAATAACCGGGTTTACCGTTGAATTCCAACAATTCCCTCAATAGTATAACTTAAGCCCTAATTCTGGATACGCTGGTTCTGTGTTATTTCCTAAAATTTTACCTGGAATACAGAACATTGTACAATCTAAACGAACGTGTCCACTCTGTCTTTAACTGTAGACTCTGAGTAAATGATCAACACTGCCCCGTTTATCTTCGCGTTACACTGAGGGAAATACGATAAAATTGTCTACATATAATTCAGAAATATCACTGCAACAGTAGGATTATGTGTTCGTTGTGACATATTTATAACGCTTTGTTTTTCGCAGTTTTTCAATGGTAAATTTTCCGGTTCATAAAAGATATAGTATGATAATCCCCCTGGACCCTAGGGAGAAACAAACATTCAAACGGGGCACAAAGTTTGGAAATGTATTTATTCATTTTTGAGCTTTTAGAATAAAACTTCAAGAAAATGTTTGGAGTGCATAAAGCATGTTAAATGCGCTCCGGAATTCGGAACTAGTCTAAGTTTCCTCTACGTATTTCCCACAATCAAGTGCCATAAAATTCAATGATTGTAGTGCCACAAGCGGCTGAATACTACCCAGGATGCACAAAGTAGTAGGCACGTTGGATTCACACCGTCGAAAACCTGGTTCAAATCCAAGTAAAGTCCGTCAAATTTCACAGACTACGATTCCCGGCAAGAAAACAACGGTTAAGCGTTGATTTCAAAAGATTTTGGTGAAATGTTAAAACCTTCGAAAAAATCTCAACTTGCCCTTAATGTACAAACAGATTAAATAACAATCCGTTCTTGATTGCAATGAAACATGCATTCTGCTTAATGATAAAAACAATGCTATGTGAGAGCTCATTATTTTCAGTGATTTGTACACTGACTTCTACCGATCATAAACCGATTAGACTTAGTCCGCAGTGAGCTTTTAACTAGACAATGTGTAGGAATGTAGCAGGCAAATCGGAAGCAGCCAATCAAGCCATACGCTATAGGAAGGCATTGGTACACACCACAATGTTTTTAATTATAGGACGCGGTTAAAGCAATCATTCGGGATTTTAAAGTCAATTGAGAGATCAAGCAGACCAAAACGAACCTCCTTTGTGTGACTTGAAACCATTAAGTTACCAGACCCACTTCTAGTTGCTTCAATCTAGAGGAAAGAACAACAAAAACGACTCATTCACACGAAAGCGATTCAATGTATGGTGGAAATATTACCTGTATTTTGGGGGAGTACATTTACTCGTACTATTTACTATTCAGGCAGACATGGTCGTAAACGCGTTTGATAAAAGCGTGAATGTATTAAGGAATGTATCCAAATAATTGCGTTGAACAGGCAAAGAGGGTGACAAATGGTTAAGCTTATTCACGGTGCTGTGTTAAGTTTGGCTGCAGTGAAAAAAGTGGAGTACTCACCTCGGTTGTATAGCTTGGAACTTCGAGACTTTTCGCGGTCATTTGAAAGTGAGATAGAACGGCACGCTTTAGATTTTCCATCCATGGGTGTTCAGCACCTGTCGTGCAAGGTGATATTTGCTGGCCTAGTTTCATTGGCACAACTGAACAAGGCCAATGGTTCAGCGGATTCTCACCATTTGTGGACTGAATGTCTTTTAGCTTTAGCAGCGAGAAAGGAAAAGAAGAGGAACGAGTTCTTGGAGGAATCAACCGTTCATTCGAATCATTAAAAACAAAATGATATGCTTGCCAGGTCACAATATGCACGCAATCCGAGATGTGCCGTAACTGTCATGAAAACCGTTGCGATTTTTATCACAAATCGGTGAAATAGTGATAAAATTAATAATAAAATTATACTTGCTTCATTTTATGGAACAATATATTCCAGGAAAGATTCTTTTACTTGAAATATAATTAATGTGTATTGCTATTTTGCTGTCAACAAAGTGACCCGTACGCGGCGCGTTCCATATATGCGCTTCTGCTTGGAAAGAGGAGAATTTGTTTTTTATTTTGAGAGATAGGTGATAAAACCAACTTGCGCGTATAGGGTTACATGAATTGAAAAAGTGTTTGTTCTGTTATTAGCAAGTTATTAGACACAGGGCTTATATTTATGATAACACTCAAAGGCATGTCACTCCTAAGAAGATCACTTGTCCCTCAACATATTACGCACACTGCTGACGAGCCCAATAAAAGAAGTATGCTTTGTAGATCTGTTTGTGTGTACCAAAACTCCGGGGAGGCTGGATTAAGTCATCGAAACCGAACCTAGACCAAATCCCTCCCGGTTGGCAACAAATGTATGATGCATCCACCTGATCCAGTTGGTATTCCTTTCATATTCCTGACAAACTGCACACCCAAACGTGATCTCATTCTTCGTCGTTTATTTAACTCTTTTCTCGAATCCTGTTGGGAATTTGCGTGGTCAAGCTTCCCCTTGAAAAACCAATCAACCTCTCACTCTGTCGCTATTCATCACTAAATCTAGGGCAACACATAATGTAGGACAAGTAATAGCTGACCTGGAACCCCAAGTACTGGTGAGTGATCACCAGTAAACACTTTCTCGCTGCTTGCCCATGAAATGTTCACTGGCGTGTTTCCCATTTTGAAACTTTTGCGACTAATAATTATGATAACTAGCAGTGACTCTCCTTGGATTTCTCAATGGTTTTAGGCCAAGTGTTCATCAGCAAAATTGCTTGTGTTTTATCCCATGGAACTTACCGTGGAACCCTAATCATCTCACTGACTCCTCCCCTAGAATCATGATTGACGGGGCCAAATCAGGTATTTACGATTTGTTTGCTTCTGCTCTCCACCCATCATTATTATTATTTACCTGCTACCTTCTATCCTCAAACCTCAATCCTATTTGCTCTTTTCTGAATAGCCCTACCCCACACTGTCACTTATCTTACTCTTTCTGCGCACTTAAATGAATAAATCTCCCACTACCGGTCGTTTATATGTGCACATCAATGATCTATAATGGCGGAGTCTTTGAATTTCAACGTGCTGTTCAAAATTGTTTTCAAAATCGATTATTGCCTTTTATCCTCATTATTTCAGTGTTATTCTACAGAGCAATCTTTAGCTGTTACCATATCTACGGCCAGTGTTAGATTTACGATGTCCGTCATGAAATGTCATCACATCACAACAAAAATCCCTGCTTTCTATCATCCTCACTTTGAAAATTGCTGTTTTAGAGAGATCTGAAACAAAATTCGAACGAATTAATAAGATCCCACAGGGATATCCTATGAGGCATCATCGTTGTGTGTTTCCATGTTTACCAACAGCGGCATCTGTTCACTGCCTGAAAATCTCCTAGACGTTATTGACTTCACTCCACATACAGGATATTGTCAACTTGGATTCATTATCCTTTGAAAAACCTGGCCAAACCAGAAAACAGTTGACTAGATTGTCAAACATGATGGATTCACGGCGCTGATCGTTCCTTACCATCTCAAGGGCGTGAAGGGGGCACTATCCGGGATATTAGGGATGTCTGGAGCAACAGTTCCACCATTCTGTTCCGTCAAGCCAGCCAACCCCTCATAACAACGTTTGCATACTTGAATGCCAGCCCAAATACTTAAGCACTTACTGGTCAGTTATTCTCTCAATTATTCTCTCCCTATGTATCTATCCCACATCTGCCTCTTAGATAAATTTTCTGAGTTTAAAAATTACTCCTACATCGCTTTGGTGTGCCATGTAGATGTTATTCTTTGTATGGTGTGTAGCACTTTTAACCACTTTAATACGCGCATTTTAACTATGTTAAGTTTGAAAAAAATTAGTAACCCTCTCTACAAGGATGTATGTCACCCTTGATTTATTTTCGTAAGCATCCCTGATGTTTTCAATTTTCCGTGGTTCTCGCATTGGATCCTCTGATCACCTTACTGTCAACATTTCCACCAAGGTTGTCAGCTCACTTAAGCACACACATTTTCCCATCCCGGAGAGCATAAGCTTTCAACCAATAGAAGAATTAGAATCACTTTTTCTTTGGTAAATTAATTTGTGTATTTATTTTCCTACCCCGGCATATCTAATTCCAATCTCAAATTAAATGACTATCTCAACTTGGTTCGATGTTTCCTGTCCACGGGAAGAACTCCACGTCAAGTTTGACCGCTTTTCTTCTCCTCTTCCAAAACAACTGTATCAATAATGGAAGGTGCGTTTCAATCCAAGGACTATAAATTTATTGACCCTATAAAGGTCCAATAGGCTTGAAATTTACCGTCTTAATAAACACAACACATTCTTTAAAACAGAGACCCTCGAGAAATCTGAGAAGACTTAAACAATTTAGTGGTTCTCTTGTCAGAACATATGCACAGTGGATTCATCAGAATGACAATCAGGGGTTTTAGCCAACTCCCCTAGGTGAACTGCCAATGGTTCACCAACCCGGTTATGGCCCCGGATGTCGGCCTTGCGTCCTCTCACGTAAGTGCGAAAACACCTCGGCCACGAGGAGGCAGTGAGTAGGGCCTCCTCAGGGAGGCTATTTGAGACGCTTGGTCCTATAGGAGCATTTTGCGAGGTGTAACGATATGACAAACAGTCACAACCCCAGATACCCACCCCGATCAAACTGTTAAATCCAAATGCCTGTCTAGGCCAATGTTGAGTGACGCGCAATCTCAGAGGAAGAGTCCAAATGTTCTATAGGTTTATTTGGCTCCAACAATAGCGAATAATTATGCGGTACTCAAATTGTGGCGTTCCCATGGTGTGTGCCTGAACGGGCGAAATTAACAATTCCAATCGAGAACTGCAGTGTAAACCAGGAAGTTCACCACTCCGTAAAGCGAAAAAGCGATAAGTGAAATGACGTCACATCGGATAGTGCGACGCATTGGTAAGACATATGACCCATCCCAATAGGATTAAGGAACCGATGCGATAATCGGAGGACAAGATGAATCAGATCAAATCAGGGTCAGGGACAACCAGTACGACAAAAAGGGGGACGAGGTAACTGAGTTTGGTGGGCGAGCGAGTGAAGAAATGAAATCATTCGTGGTGAACAAAAAGTGCATATCTGGTGATGGATAAGACACACGGGTCAAGACAACGACAAAT